TTTAAAGACTCGCGCGGGGGCCCGTGGAGATTCCAGATGGTCGTTTTCTATGGATTTACATTATTTACAAACTGGTTTCTCGCGATGTGAAATAAAAATCGTTGCCCCCCACCAACCCCACCGCCACCTTCGGCCCGTCGCAGAAACGCGTCGAAAAAGAGCCAAGGGAAGAAGAGTCGACTCCCTTCGAAAGACGAACGACTAGTGCCGCATTGTTCGACGTATATGTACGTCACCGTGTCCCCGTGGATCGCGTAAGTACGTCGATGCGCCTGAGAACTCGAACGACCAAAAAATATTCAACGATCGGTGACTTGAATACATACTGAACGAGTCTCTTTTGCAAAGCGACATCATCAAATTTTATTCCATACAATTTGTTTATACATTTTTGATCAAAGAGTTTAGTTCAGTTTTAACGCTGCTTCTCCAAAACTGAGAAGTTAAAATGTTAATCACAAGACGTGAAAAGGCGAAACATCTCTATTAAGAATAACCTTGAGAGCGACAGAAAATCTGACAGAAATTTGAAATTTAAACGAACGGTGTCGTTATCGCAAGGCGCCGAATGGAACGATAATTACGTTCGAAAGGTGTGCCACTGAATGAATTAATTACTCGGGCCACTGGGAGTAAACTTTCGAATTGACAAACGATTTTTTATACTGTTTAGGGTGGTTGACGAGTAAACAACCCTTATTTTGTGTAGGGTGGCATTGTATCGTGCAAACTGCAATTTATAAGGACGTTCTTATGTGGTTCTTTTTATACAGGTAGGCTCAAAAGAGGATAACAGTGATGGATATTGTCTTGATACTTACTAAATGTCACTGCAGCAATGTTGAAGGTTAGAATGTTAAAATAGAAATGATAAATGATAGAAAATATATAATAGTATAGTTTACAAGTTTTATCGGATATCATTTTTTGTAGGTGTTATTATATTGTGCATTTATGTTGTCTAAGATATTTGACAAGTCTTACGTTTTACATATAAATAATGGCACTAGTGAAATTTTATTATATCTTTCACAAAATTATTAATTTTATAAGGTGTACATTTTTTAAAAATTAAAAAAATAAATAGGGTGTTATAGGGTGATATTGATAGGTTCATTAAATTTCAAACAAAGCAATGTTACTTAAAATTCATTAACCTTTTGATAGTCATATATGTGTAACACTTTCTACATTGATTTAACATATGTATTATTAAAAATTTGTTTATTATTGCTAGTCGAAAATATCCACATTAATTACATGTATCTATGGAAAATAATTTTAACAAGGCCCTGCAAAAATGTTTGGTAAAATTGATTAAAAATAAAAGCACAACTGTATGCAATTTTCAATTGCTTCAACGTCAATGTATTAAAATTCAATCAATGTGCAGTCAGTGTTTTAAAATGTTTATGTCATTAAAATGAATTTAAAATTGTCGCGCCACCTCATGGGTTGCCGTCGGTACACCCCGAGTATAAAAATAAGAAGTCCTTCTTGTAAGACTCCGATTCTCACGCGAAAATAACCGGTTTTAATCTAAACAGCGTTGTACCGGTGATTAGCGAGCGACAGTCCTCTTTTTCCGTAGATCGCGGTTGGAACACGCGTCCTATCGGTGGAACAATTTTCAATTTACCGAAAACCGAGCTCGATTCGAAAACGATTAACCGATAAATTCCGGGCTGCACGGGCTGCTTAATGAAATCGCGATTGGCTGGCTGCTCGTAACACGTTCGCGATGCTGCCGTCTCGAAAACGAAATTTCCTCGAGGAATCCGCCGGTTGCTCGAGCGAGCCGGATCGCGTCGCACTTAATTAACGCCTCTACGCCGATTAGGCCACTTGTAATAATCACGATACGCCACTGACACCCCGTATTTCAACGTTTTAACGATCCAGTAAAAAAAAAGCAGCGTGGGCCTCCGTTCGGGTATCGTGGAATTTTGCAGCCGTACAAGATGGCGGACAAGGTACGATGATCGTAGTTACGTGTCACCCAATCAGCCGGTTGCCCACGGTGTGGCGAATTAATATAATTTATGAAAATGAGCCACACCGTCGATGGCCACTCGATTCTCCCAGACATTCCTGTACGAGAATCGCCAACGTTACAACCTGGAATTCCTCTCCCGAATCGACAAAGTTCGCTCGATCTTTACGCCACTTTTTTCTCTTTTTTTTAATTAGCTTGTTGCTTACCGAACGGCCGATTTTCAACGGTACTTTAACCGCGACACGATAAAAGAACGCTTATTGGGTATCAATTCGGGCGTTGAACTTTCCTGGAAATTACCGGGTAAACGGTTTATTAATATCTGGATGGAACAATGATTCCATAAATTTATGGCTTAATATTATACGTGGGACAAGAATATCGTTACCGAATGTCTTCGATTCGTTCTCCGTTTGCGATTTTAGCTCGGTAATTTCGTGCGCTGAGGGCTGCGCGAGGGACAATTGGAAAAACGGAGACTGCGTGTGGGAATAAATTCTTTTGTCTTATTTATTTATCTTAATCTATTAATTAGATTGAATCAATTGATTCGGTCAAATTAATTGAACTAGTTCATTCAGTTCAATGAATTCTATTAATACAATCAGTATTATGAATATGATCAATGCGATCAATAGGATTAGTACCATCAATGTGATCAATGATATCAATACGATCAATATGATCAATATGATCAATACCATCAATATCATCAATATCATCAATATCACCAATACGATCAATATAATCAATACAACCAATACAATCAATCAATCAATCCAATCATTCAATAAATTCAGTCAATATAGTTAAATCAAATCAGTCCAAATAATCCAATCAACTTATAACTTGTTAGATCAGATTAAACAATTCAATCAATTCAACAGGTTAAATAATCTAATCAGTTTCTATAAAAAAACAAAATTACAACGTGCACGTAGAAATATTATTTATCGAACCGTAAGCTACAGATTGATATAGCATAAGTAATACATTGCGGTACGTTTATGTCATCAAATACGATCAACTTTCTCTGTTTCGTAACTGACTACTTGATATATAGCTGCTTGATAATAGCAACATGTGGAAGTAAGCAACATATGGAAGTAAAGAGATATAATAAATTGAAACTGCACTGCAATACCTGCAACTTTGTCTTACGATAAGTATCTGCACTGTCAATTTTTATTCGATTAAATGGTTTCATCGAGTCATGCTTGAATGTTAATTAAATAATGAACGTGGAAGGAAATTATGGAGGTGAAATTTATTTATTTGAGACAGATGGTGAACATAAATTTTGGTGCTTGTTAGGAGGATATCAATTTGGAGATTGGGGAGTTGCGGAATTTGGGAATTTGGGAATTTGGGAATTGAAGAATTGGGGAATTTGGGAATTGGGGACTTTAGGGAGATGGGAAATTGGGAAATTGGGGAATTTAGGAAGTTGGGAAATTAGGGAGATGGGAAATTGGGAAATTGGGGAATTTAGGGAGTTGGGAAAGTAGGGAGATGGGAAATTGGGGAATTGGGGAATTTAGGGAGTTGGGAAATTAGGGAGATGGGAAATTGGGAAATTGGGGAGTTGTGGAATTGGGGAGTTATGGAATTGGGAAATTGTGAAATTGGGGAGTTGTGGAATTGGGGAGTTATGGAATTGGGGAATTGTGGAATTGGGAAATTATGGAATTGGGGAGTTGTGGAATTGGGGATTTATGGAATTGGGGAGTTGTGGAATTGGGGATTTATGGAATTGGAGGATTATGGAATTGGGGAATTATGGAATTGGGGGATTATGGAATTGGGGAATTATGGAATCGGGAAATTATGGAATCGGGGAATTACAGAATTGAAAAATTGGGAATCAGGGAATTATAGAATTGCCAAAAGTTCCAATCTTGAAGTAAGAAAATTTCTCTCTAATAAATCTGAAAACTTGAACGTAAATCTTCCACATGTCCAAAGTCCTCCACCTAAACCTCCATAAAGACATTTGAACAGTCACCTCTCTAGAAGAACTGAAAAATCAGTATCGAGACACCTAAAAGAACGTACATTGTACGTTGCAGTTTAAGAAAGGATAACGGCAAAGCAGAACGAAATTGACGGCACAATTACGCGTCCGGTTGTTGAAAAAGCAACCTCGTTCTTGGACGTTGTGTCGTGGGTTTCAAGGCCGGCGATAACCGCAGAGAAAAAGTCAGGGCCTCGGTGACAAGTTACCTCGACCCGGCAATAATTCACGATGATCGTATCGAACGGAACACGTACTTGATATCAAACGGTCGATTACTGGTTTCCAGAGCGCGGCTAAATAGAACAGCCGACTTCTTATCTTCTGCATAAATTTCCTTTATCAACTCGACGTCTGTTCGAGGCAACATTTTGTATCGTTCGCCCGGAATTGTGAATAGCCAACGTGTTACCGCGAACGATTTTACTAATTGCGTGCGTCGTGAAGCGAAGAACAATTTGAAAAACCATAAACAATCGCGCCGATCGGGGATTAGGACTGTTTAGCAGAAAGCTTTTGCATGTTTCGCGGTTTGCAATTCTGATAACGCTCAAGTTTAACTTTGAGCGCATATTTTTTGAGGTTATGGACGGTTGTTTTATTCGATATGAGAGGGAGATTTAAGTTTAGGGTAGTTTAGTTGGGGATAGTTAAGATTGTTTAAATTGTTTGTTTGATTTTTGGTAGGATGTGCTTCTGAGAATTTATAATAGAACTAATAAACTTTTATATGTAATGAAACATGACTTTGAATTTAAAAAATTGAAATAGTTAATAGATAACACTTATTTCTGTCAGTGTTGATAACGGAAGTAACGTTCGAGCTGGTAATTTTGAAAAAATACCAATAAGTACATAATGGAACAAAGCAGTATCATATAATTACAGTCAGAACCGCTATGTCATTATTTTTTATCGGGAACGTTAATGTAGATAAAAATGTATGTTGATAAAATGTAATTTTGTATGATAAATGTTTTTATTACTCACCGAAATGTTGGAGTCGATAGATACCTGAAACAAGATTAAAGATGATGTTAGAAAATATTTATTTTTACAAAATAACATTCTTTTAAAAATCTGAAGAATTTGAAAAATTTTGTGAAGCTTGAAAAAATTTGTAAAAATTTGAAATCTTCTAAATTACTATTTAAAATAAATTTTATTATTGTATATATTTGTAAACATTAAAATGTCTTCTCTGACTTCAAATTTTTATTAAAAGTGAACATTTTTATATTGAAACAGTCTCCTAATTTAAATCGTGTTTCAACAAAAAAATTTAAATGCAGAAAAATTTTTAATGAAAAAGTAAATGAATGAATAAAAGAGAATATGAAAATATAAAAAAAGAACGTTGCAAAAGAACAATGCACAAGTTGATCAAGAATAATGGATTCAAGAGAATCAAAAATTCAAGCAAGAGGTTGAAGAAAGTTTGAAACTATCGTCGCAGAGAAATTCTCTTCGTCTATTGGATCACATTAACGTAATAGACTTGGTCGAATTCAACGTAAACAGCCAAAGGAATCGTAGAGCTGAGTTTTTCGCGAACCTAACCTCTTTGCTTGCGTGTGCATTTCGCAGATTACAGTTGGCGATAGGAAACGTTTCGAAAATGATTCGTCGCGTTTAACGTTCTACGTTTCTACTATCCAAAACGAATCTGACTTTGCCGCAAATTTTTTTGAAATACCTAAAAGGAATAATAATTGCCGATAGAAGGAACAGTTGTACGAACGGAAACCTATTTGTGTTTGAGCGAACGAGGTTGCAGAATAAGTTTAGGCTGTAGGTTGTGGATGATGATATTTTGTAGTGATGAAATTTCTTACTTCTTAGGTTATGAATTTGTAAACTTTTTGATATACAAGTTTGGATATTTTATAGGTTTTCAAATGTTCAGTTTTATATTTGCAATTTTTCAAACTCTTAAATTTGCAATTGTTGAAACTTTTAAATTTGCAATTTTTCAAACATTCAAGTTTTCAAAACCTTAAATTTTCCAATTTCCTAAATTCCAAGGTGCTTAATTCCCTAAATTAAAAAATTTCCTATTTTGCAAAAGCCTTAGATTTCACCTTATTCCCTAAATTCTAAATTTTCCTAATTTGCAAAACTCCCAAATTTCACCTGGTTCCCCAAATTCTAAAATTTCCTATCTTGCAAGAACCCTAAATTTCAAACTCACCCTCCGAATTTAAAAATTCAGAAAACTGCTATTTTCAGAAAGTCATATCAAATCACGATCTCCTTCCTATACCCTCCATAAAAATCGGCGTAAATCCGAATAAGAATCGCTAAGTGCAAATATTACAGATTCCCAGCATATAACATTATATGCCACAGTGTATCCTCGAGGGGATGATTTTCGTATTTGGACGCGGTCCAAAGCGAGCGAACACGAGACCTTCTAATGTGCTTTTTCGAATAAAGCTACTTACACGAGGGACAGAAATACAAATGGATGCGTAATATATGGACAAGAAAAGCCTCGCGACGCAGAAACGGCTCAATTCCGAATACATTGTTCGCGATTTACGCGGGGAAAGCTGGCGAATTCGGATGAATCGATGCTTTCTCGTACATCTCCGAGAAGATGACAAAAAACCGTTTCGTGAGAACGCTGCACGCGTACGACGTTATATCGGCGGTTTTATGCGATTCGAAACAATTTGCTTGGTGTTTTGTAATACGCGCTGTGATTCTCATTGTTCTGCGACGATCACGCAGGAAAATGCTTAATGCACGCGGAATTTAATTGAAGAGTGTTGGAATACTTTTGGAAATGCGTTGTGTAATCAGAAGTTAAATGCTTCGAGCAAAATCCGATTTTCTATGAGGCTAAAAGTATTAAATCTAACCTAAAAAGCATTAAAAGTATATAACATAAGAAGTAGAAAGTATTAAACCTGACCTAACTTAACCCAGAAAGAATTAAACCTAATTTAACCTAACCTAGAAAGTATTAAATCTAACCTAACCTGACCTAGAAGGCATTAAGAGTAACACAACCTAACCTAGAAAATATAAAGCTTAACATAACCTAAAGTAGATAGCATTAAGCCTAACCTAACGTAGAAAGTATTAGGCCTAACCTAACCTAACCTAGAAAGTATAAAACCTAACCCAACCTAACCTAGAAAATATAAAGCCTAATATAACCTAACGTAGATAGCATTAAGCCTAACCTAACCTAACGTAGAAAGTATTAAGCCTAACCTAACCTAACCTAGAAAGTATAAAACCTAACTCAACCTAACCTAGAAAATATTAAGCCTAATCTAACCTGACGTAGATAGTGTTAAGCCTAACCTAACCTAACGTAGAAAGTATCAAGCCTAACCTAACCTAACCTAACCTAGAAAGTATTAAACCTGTTCTAACCTAACCTAGAAAGTATCAAGCCAAACCTAACCTAACCTAGAAAGTATGAAACCTAATCTAACCTAGAAAGTATCTAACCTAAAAAATATTTAACCTAAAAGATGAAAAGTATTAAACCTAACCTAAAAAATATTAAAAGTATTTAAAACTAATGGTGGAAAGTATTAAACCTAACCCAGCAGTGAATGAATTATACTAATTGCACCTTAACCTTCTGTACACGAATTTTGGGTTAAACATCCCCCACGAAAAGGGTAAAGTTAAACAAATAGCGACAAAAACCGTTAAATAAAATATTTGAAGGTAAACGAGGCAGATTGCAGTTAAAAGTGACAGAAAGTTGCAGGAAAAAGAGAATCCGCGGGTATTCTTTTGAAGGGAGGTAACGAGCCGTATGTTTTGCGAGGTGAATAAAGAGAAGGAAGTCGATAAGAAGGTTGCAGAAATATCGTGGAAATATTTGCAAGGTATTTTACTCGGTGCGATTCTATGTCTCCCATAGAAGTGGCGGCAAACGGTGAATCGGTCTCGGCGAGAAATCGAAAACAAAAAGACGCCTTTCAATGGATTATTTGTATCCGCGGAAACGAAAGGGACCGATGAATACGCGAAAGCGGACGATTGTGACCGTGTTGCGTTAATTATCCTGATACGAAAGTCGCGTTTCAATTTTCCTGCATTTTCTGAATGGACTGGCAATTAAACAAAGACGCGCTCACGCCAGAAATAAACGAAAGAAAACGAGTTTGCGATGAATCGAGTGCCGGATCGAATTATACTAATTATCCTTACGATTTAACCTGATATTTATTTTTACAATTTTTATTTTAGCGGCCTGTTATTTGATGTTATTTGTGTATCGTTATTTATATTGTTTAAGGTACGGTTTGGAGTGGGAGGATGATAGTAGGAATCATAAGATAATAAAATATATTCGATTATTCACAATTTTTGTAATTTTAATGTTATTCGATATTAATATTATTTACGATGCTTACAATAATAGTAAAGATAGTAATAGAAAAATAATATTGACAATTTTTCAAAATTTAATGTTCCTATTCCTTTACCAATGTTAATATTATAAATTAGAAAAGTCTTATTGCTTTTAGTTGCTCTGAGAATAGAGAAGTTGTGACATAACCTATTTGTAAAAACCACCCTCTTATAGACAATAAATATCTCTGATGGTAAAATACAGAAAAGAATAACCCTAAAAAATGACCAATAAATCTCGTAATTAGCCAAACCAACAACTATCCAAAAAGTTAAAAATCAAACTCAAATATATTCAGCACAAGACAAGTAAAATGACGAATCGGTAAAAATCTAGGTTAGGTTGCGTAAAAATATTACCCTATTTTGTAGTATCGTTCAGAATAGAAGAACGACATCTAGTTATCGAAATCACCCTGTATATCGGACGTCAATAAATATCTCTGAGGGTAAAATCAGTGCAGAGGAGAAAAGCCGTACAAAGTGACCGCGTCGATTTTTATTCGCGACGCGTGCAGGAGAATTTATTATTGAAATCTCGCGCGGGCCGACCACGGTGCCGCTGTTGCACTCCGTTTCATCGAGTGTATCGACCGCACGGCAAACGCAACAAATCCGGTGAGAAACTAATTCTACCCTCTCGTTTCGTTTCTATCCTCCGTCCCTTGTCTACCTTTTCCCGCCAACCCTCTACAAATCCCTCCGCTGCAAGTAAAGCGACCCTCATCGATCGCGAATCGACTTGTTGCTGACAATCGAAGACACCTTATGTTCCTATCTACCTTCAGTTATCGCTTTTTTATGTAATAAAATATTAAACATTTTTGCTAAATAAATTATCTAGGTTGGTTGTGGTAAAAGTGCTCAAGGTTTGATTTATGAAAAATGAGGAAAATTGTATTTTTTAAATTGTGAAAATTATTAAGAAGATTTTGTGAATTGTTTTTCGAAATAAATTTTCACAAAGTATGTACATAGAATGAGGAACATATATGTACGAGGAACTAATGTGCAGTAACCCATGCTGAAATGGTTGCAGCAATAAAAGTATTTTTGCTAAATAAATTGTCTCGGTGAATTATGGTAGAAATGTTCAATGTTAGATTTATGGAAAATAAGGAAAATTATATTCTTTAAATTATGAAAATTATTAAGAAGATTTTGTGAACATATTCTAGAAATAAATTTTCATCACAACGCATGTAGAATGAGGAACATATAGAGGAACTAACGTATAATAAATAACAGAAGATTCGTGTACGAATAAATTTGGAGCAATAGCCATTAAGAAGAAAATCCGAAACGAATACGAAGGAATAAAATAGAAAAACAGGAGCAAAGAAATTGAAGTGACCCGAACGTTTCTCGAATCGTTTATGATTAATTTATACGCAGAGACGGATGTAAATTCATTATAACCATAAAGTATAGCTAATTGGAAGCGTAAATCTTGAAACGGTGGTGGAGAGGGTAAGGGGGCGTAATTACGATCAAAAAGAGAGGCGAACGAACGTCAGGGAACTATCAAAAGGTAGTGAACCACGCACGCGGCATTTACGAGGGCTTTTCAAAAAAATCCAACCCGTGACTCCCGCTGTGTGGCTCGCCAGCCAAACGTACGGTTATTCCGT